TACTCACGTTAGTCCAAATGCAAGGTACAAAAATAGTTATCTTACATCATCAATTCTTTGCTTCGGAAACAACTTCCTGAGAAGACCAATGTAGCTACCTGTCCTTGTCTCCTCTAATAAGCACTGTACCTGTCTGAAGTGAGGGGTTCACTGAGTTAAATAGACAGAAACAGTATGCAAAGTTAAGAATTTATCTAACAGCTTGAGCATAAAAACACACAATACACGCAATTTTATCAGGCGATGCTGGGGCAAAAAGCCCACCCAGCACATTATTGATCATACTAACTTTATTTCAAGCACAAGAATCAAAATGCAACTGTAGTACAATGCAATGCTGTGTGACGTGACCACTTACCACGCTGCCGAAATAGCGACCCACGAAGACGTGGTTGAGAGAGGGCAACTCCAGGTAGGTGGCCCCCAGGTCCCGGGACAGCTGCAGACCTTCACTGTGAGGCACACAGCTGCTCCAGTCAGATGCACAGAGCGGGCACGTACAGGGAGGGCCTTCATCTGAACACATAGTTTAAATTTAAGATGAAATCATTCAAACTGTGTAAATAACTGAATGTAATAATTTGTTTATAAGGGTGTAGGACAGAGTTCCACAGAACAAGCTGCACTGGGCCATGACGTGCAGTCCATAGAAAGGGTTATCCCTAATGTTAATGATCGGAGACATGGATCAAAACATCTTCTGCACTTCTGACAGCAGTTGAACATAGCTGTGCTTGTGATGTGTACAGTTTAGAGTGAATCTACTCCCAGACTGGACCAATCTCAGCATAGCTAACAATGTTGACATTGCAAAAACTCAATACAAAACATGCCCTTTTGTAAATACGTTTCTCTGCCTTTCAAAACTTCCTTAAAGACCACATAAACACACACAAAAACAACATTTCACAAAACAAATTAAAATAGAAAACATATCTCTGCTGCCACTACTCCTTTCAGAAGTGAACAGCCCAGTAAGGATTTTGAAATAGAGATGGGTTGTAATTTGTGAAAGATAGTTGTTTTCTGTTTTGTTGTGTTTCGCCATGTTGGTCTCTGAAATGTCATTAGATCTTCTTTAATATAATACTGATGTGTTTTGCACTTCCAGGCCACTGTTTTTCACAAGTCCAAAGACAAAAAACTAAACAAACCACACTGTGGCATGTGTGTATAACCAAAGACAAAATCAGACAGAAAATTTGGAGGGATTAGCTTGAAGGAGAAAAAAACACTGCACAAAGGAGGAGAGCGCCAGAGAGAGAGAGAGAGAGAATGAGCAGGACATACAGCTAAGTGCCGAGGCATTTGATAAATCATCTTGCTAATAACCTACAGGCATGACATAGAGATGGAGCTAGACAGAGTGTGTGAGTGTGTGTGTGTGAGAGAGAGAGAGAAAAAAAGAGAGAGAGAGAGACCCAATGTCTGACAGGCGGTGACTTGGCATATCAGTGTATGTTTGTGTGCGTGGCCCTTGGATGAATCTGCCTGGTTGTTGCTCCTGCCGCTCAAGCGCTGGTTTAATGGCTGCGCTAATGTCACGCTAACAGCAGCCGCTTCTCCTGCCACAGCTGTGCTTCAGGTGGTCCTAAAAGGTCGAGCAGCAGGAAGTGCTTCACAGCTCCAGCCGTCATTCCTGCAGTCCGTAGGGGATGGCATTAAAATACCCCACAACCAGACCACAAAAGGAAAAACAAAAAGCTCTGCGTCTACAGTTCCCGCTTCCTCTCCCTCCTCTTCGCTCTGCAAAGGACCTTTGACTCACTGTGATCATTCTGCAGCGGTTGACCAGGGATCTCCAAAGTTGTCGGGCAAGACCAAAGCTAAACAATACAACCTGGTGCATTTGATGAGCTTGGTTTTAACAGAATGTGGATGTTGAAAGGGTCAGGTGTGTGTGGTGTTGTGTGTGGTGTGTGTGTGTGTGTGTGTGTTGTGGTGTGGTGTGCGGCTTCAAACACAGACTCACTGACAGTGCCAGTATACATACATGTGCTAAGGCTACACCCGAGTGGCCTAGTCCTACTTAAGGGACAAACTACTTGTGTGGTGCACTTCCAAGCCGTGACAGTGTATGGTCAAGTGCTGTGCGAGCTCTTGTCTGCTTGCAAGGCGTATAATGGCGGAAAAAATGTCAACTTAACGTCTTGGTTTGGTGTGTTTCCTGCAGGGAAGCATGTGAGTTGACAGCCTGAAGGCAGCCAAGAGGAGATTTAATCATGAACATCCTCCTCATTGCTGAGAGGACACAGTAGAGGACACAGTAGAGGACACAAAGGCTCAGACAGTGATCTCACTGGCCCATGAGCAGAACATGATATTGTCCGGAAATCAAACTCAACAACTCAGGCAACCGTAACTTAACCCTAAAATACCAGGATATCAAGTACAATGGCTGAGAGATGAGACATTTTGTATTTGCTGCCTCTTAAACTCCACTGTTCATCTACAACAATGACAAACTGCTAGTAGAGCCATCAGTTGTCAAGGCGCTGTTGGCAAAACTAAACTCAGTCTTGGCTCTGACAAAAACACACAACAAAAGCGTCCTCACCGTTCAGCCGTGCTCCAACAGCGACTAGGATGACAGGCACACCCCAGTGCCTCAGGAGCGGGCGGAGTCTCGGGGCGTAGCCGTTCCTGACCTGCTGGAAGGCCAGCTTGTCAGTGACTGAATATTTAATGACCAGGATGTCCGCCTGCTCAAGAACCTTCCGTACGCTGGCCCAGTCGCTGTCCAACAAGTCCTGGAAAGACAAGAAAAGGACAACAAATATAAATAGTAGGAGGTCAGAGGAGGACAGACGTGAGGAACACCGTATACGGAATTGTGTACATACCCAACCTGCACCACAAACATCACCTTAGATAACCCTCGGAGTCTCCCTAAATATAATTACCTCAGCGTGGCTCTTGGGACTTTACCCCCAAGGACTTGTGTGAGGCTATAGCTGCTTGCTCTAAACCAACTCAACTCATTAGGCAGGGGGCGAAAAAAACACTTCAGAAAGCTTTGAGCAATTTGAATAAAAAAGGACAAAGAGACAAAGAATTAGACTGACAGACTTCCACCAGCACCACCCCTAACACGGTTAGACAGCCCTATAATTGAATGCATATAGTGCTGCTACAAAATCATAACAGTGCTTTCATTTCAAATTCATATGCTATGAAGAACAAACGTTTTTTTGTGCAGTGCATGTTAAAATAGCGTTCTCCTAAGAATAGGGACCTTTTTTACAAAGCCTGCAATCAGCGCTGGAAGGCAAGTGGCCTTGGATTTTGAAATGTTGTATGCCTTCTGAGAAACAGGAGCAGAGTGAAAAGTAAACAGCATATCAGTGCACACTCTTTCACAGTGACAATGCTGTGGCAAAATTACACCACTTTTTCATGGCTTGTTTTGCCATCTTGGCCTGCCCTAACCTTCACCTGTAAATCAACTCTGATTTGGTATCACACAAGCAAGAAGGTGTGAGGGGAAAAGAGCCAAAGCAACACCTAAAAAAAAAAAAAAAGCCCCTTAAGGCTCCATTTTAATGTGAAAATTGGGGGATGCACACATGCAAGTCTCAGTTTTCCTTCATTCTGCTGTGCACACAAATGTCTCTTACCCAGCTGGGACAATCCCGAACCACTACAGTGACATCCCCAAACACGCGTGAGGTGTACTCCATGAAGGCCGGGTTGTGCAGGCTGCTCTCCAGGTCGCAGGGTCCCACCAGCGCCCCGTGACCCAAGTAGCTCCACAGCAGGCCTCCCTGCAGCTGCCCCTGGCCCATGATCTCCTCCCCGGGCCCGACTCCTCCAGGGCACTCGCTGCCCAGAGCCACAATGTGGATGGACCTGTAAGCCAGACAACTCTTTGGTTGGAAAGTGACTTGGATGAAGCGGCATGTAAGCAGATGATGATAATGATGATCCGGTGATGGCACCTGTCTTTGCCTTGGTCCTTATTATTCATGTCTATCACGGAGACAGTGCATCACCGTTATGTCACTGGGAAGAAGGAGCTTGCCAAAGGCCCTAATTAGCTACACCTGAGAGGGTATTATGGTTCAATAAATCTGGCACTTAAGCTACATGTCGGCGCTGTATTTATATTTATCAAGCAGTGATATATTGACAAACACATAAAGCACGTATACCATACCAGGAACCCCTTTCTCCTCACATCCCTTAATGAGTTGCAGCTTCAGAGCAACTTACATTGTGGTCGCCGCGGTTTTGTTCCGCTGCTCTACGCTATGTAGCCCGTTTCCCTCGCGGTGCGTTTCCACGCCAGTCTGCAGTCGGCTTTTCCGCAATGAGCCGCGGCTCCGCTCCGTCGTTAATCCCTCTCATCGGTGGCTGGACCCCCGGGAGCCCGGCTGCTGGGGAGTTTCGCAGTCACTTGCATTTCCCCCCCGTCTCGTTATTCATTCATAAAAGCGGAGCCCGATACCGTCCCGAACCGACCGCAGAGGCGCACCGGACAGCCCAGCCGGCGGAGCAGCAGAGTGTGTAAACAGCAGCGCCCATGGGCAGCCAATGCGCTAACAGACAAACAAGTTGTCAGTCAGTCGGTAGGAAACACAATTAGCGACGGGGAGAGAGGGGGAGCAGCCTCGCGCCTCGGTGTCCAGACCGTATGAAATGACGTCGGCGCATAAAACAAAGTGGCAAAGAACAACTGGAGAGAGAGAGAGAGAGGGAGGGAGGGAGAGAGAGGGAGGGAGAGAGAGAGGTCGCGCCTGACTCAGCAACACGCACGCGGACTCACGCATGCAGAAGCAGCGCGTGCCAACACGCACACACACACACACACACACACACAGAGGCACCCTCAGTAGGACCATGCTGTCGACGGGCAGGCCATGACAGTGTTGTTTCATCCACTCGCGCACAGTTTTACGCCGTGTTGTCTTTTGAAAAGCTGACAGTCTCTCCTCTGAATAACTGAACAACAACAGCTTTATCCTCTGCTGGGTCCCATACAAAGCACGTGTGTGTTAATAACTTCCCTCCTCTCGTCCCTGACTCACAAAGACAGACAGTGAACTCCACCACATGAAGAGACACACACGGAATTGCCTGGAGCTATGAGCGTGGAGTGCAATGTTGATAATAATAATGACATTAACCGTAATGGACAGGAGACCATTTGCTGATGTAGCATGAACATATACAATACTGTAAGTGTGGAGTGTGTACTAAAAGTGGCTTGGGTGTGGGAGTCAGTGGTAGATAAAAGGCGATAATATCTGGTGGTCCCTCTTGGACAAACTCAAGAGCTTCCAGAGCTTTAATGAGAGGAAGAATAGCTCAAGCCTTAACTGTTTAATCCGAGCCTCTTGTGTCATTCACAACCATGCTGCATAATGCATGACATAAAACCAACACAGAGTATTTAGGCCTTGGCTCTGAGTGCCCTGTAACACTGTAATTCCATGCTGTTCACATGCTGTGCAATATTGTCCCTTTGAAATAAGATGCACCAGGCCCGCAAAGCAGTTTTCCCAGACAGTCTGCTCTTTATCTCGACAAACAGCCCTCCACTTGACCTACTATAAATGGCCACCAGCACATAATAGTCCCTGCCTTATATATATTCTCAATTTCACTGCATAATCATATTTTAATATTTAATGTGTGGTAACTTTGCACAAGTGCTCGGCCCCCTTGTTCCATGTAACCCATGGCACTGTGCATTTCGTGATTGTATCCGAAGCGTCACATAGGCCAAGGCTTTAGACTGTGTTGTGAGTTTGCTGTAGGCCATTTTCAGAGACCCAACATCATTCATGCACACAGGAACATCGTACCCCAAAGCTTTTGTGTTATCAACCCATGGCATTTGCAGTTCTAGGGCCATGTCACTGTTAGCCTGCACTATGGGTAACAGAGTAATAATCTGAATGTGACAGGCTGTCTTGACTCTTTACATCAAATAGTTAAATAATAGAACCAAATTTTTTAAGCATGCTAAATGTAGGAGGGCTGTGCAATGAACGTTTTTGCACAGCGTGTGATAAGACACATGAACGTCCTTTTTTTTTCATAAAAGCCTTATATAAACTTCACCTTTGTATTTTTTAATAATTACAAATTTATGACGGACTCATGCTAGACTTTGGATTTATAACAGGAGGCCTGTGTTACAAACTGGAGGTGTGGAGATTGGCAGGAAGATGCATTATGGGAATAGTAGGAGGAAGATGGAGTCTGTCAGTGCCACATCAAAGTCACTACACAGCAAAATGTAACAGTCAGGTTTAGAGATACGTCATTAATATTAAAGGAATAGTTTGAGGATTTGGGGAAATACACATATTCGCTTCCTTGCCCAGAGTAAGATGAGAGGATCAAATGTTTAAAACTAAACCCTGAGTTTCTACACAGAATATGTACCAGGGGCCCCATGAGGGGCAGCCAGCCACCTGTACCTGTCTGAAGCTGCTGTCAACACACCTTTAACAACCACAGGGACTGTGGGTCCGTGTCCTTTGGAAGTTTTGTTTTTTTTCTTTCACAGTCGCTGGATGAATTTTTTTGTGGAGTCCCAACACGAATCCTAAATGCTTGAATCTGTGCAGTTTGTGCCGTAATATTAATGCTTTCTGATGTTATCTGACTGGATATTACAAAAAAGTGGCCAATTTTGTCGTATGATATTTTACATTAACGATCGTCCACTTCACAACATTATCGATCAGCATAAACCCTTTTATCTTATCGATTCATTCACTGTATGCATAATGCATGAACAATATTGAAATGCAGAGAAATACACCAGTGTGGGCATGCATTTAACTTCCTGGTGCCACTGCCCAGATTAAGGACAGGCAATCAGAAAATTCATCCATAAAAAAAGTTTATTCAGTGAACTAAATGATGCATGTGTATGGCAATATGTGACCTGGCGTGTAAACAATCTGTAAGGCCCAAAAAATGCAATTTAAAATTCTAAACACTCCTAAACTCATTAAAAACACTACCCATTTTAAGGCCATGCAAATTCAAGTAATTACTGCATATCTGACATCCTCTCCATACAGTCATCATGCAGTTCTTTAGTTCTTAACATTTTTGGTATCAAGGAACCCCCAAACTGAGTTTCAGTGATCCACAACTGATAAGATTTATTTATTCCATAACTGTCTATACTGTAGATTGACAATCAATAATGTGAAACCTATTAACATAATTGTTATTCTTATATATTCTCTTAATGGACAAACGTTTAGCTATTGAAATAGTAATGAAATGAAAATATCCCCCCCCCTCAAGGGCCCCTAGCAGTCCCCGGACCCCAGGTTGAGAACCATTGCTTCAGAGGAGATTAGGGGAGACAAGAACAGACTATAGAGATCTTCATCCATCTGTGTTACTATCAAGATGTTTTGTTGTCAGCTGCCTCAGCTTTGGCCCTCTCCACCTTGCCTTTCTCTCCCTGGTAGTAGTCTGACTCAATCCAGCACATCTCTGTAGAGAGCTTGACATAGACATCCCCGTTCGTTTCTGTAACCGCGTGGGTCCGCTGCTTCACTCCCTTAGAGTACCATCTGGGCACAGGCGGCTTTTCCCTGGGGTCGGTGCCCTTGTATATGCCCTCCCCTTTGGCAAGAGAGATCTTGTACTTGTGCTTCGGACAAATTATGCACAGCTTGCTGTCAATTTCCTGTGAGTGTGTTGAAAGAGAGCAGGTAAACAACCTCATGTGTGATAAGACGAGGTCACTTAGGCCCCTCAACATTAGCATAACATTATATTAATGTGATTCAGGTTTGAGATCTTAATTACAGCCTTGGTCCATGCCTCAGCCCAGCAGTTGCTGTTAAGGATTTTAATGCAGATGGAATAGCCTTTGAAAGCAAGGATGTGATAAAAAAAAACACATCAGCACAGCCCAGTACTTTAACTTCAATGGCATTTTGGCTTCTTTCCCCTGGGTCAGACAAAAAAACAACCTTTAATCTCTTAAATCAAATGTAAACCTCACCTCAATGTCTCCATTCTGCAGTTCTCCCCCAGCATCTGTTGAGAGGGTTAGAGCATCAGTGTATTGCAGAATAAGCAAGGGGTTTACAGCACACTAACCTTTTGCTGACTGGACACACTTTAGAGGTAATATGTGCTAAAATGTCCTATGGATAACAAAGAAAGGCAGCTCAGTGTTAAATGTCCCATGACAGGATTTGTATCAGCAGCAACTTATTTTTGAATTGTTTCAGTGAAAGTAAGCGTTTATCAACAACACTGTTGATCCAGATGAGAATGCATATTGTTGGATAAGGTCACACACACACACTTTCCCTCTCTCATAACTATAATAGCTGTTTTGAATTTAGCACCAAAAGAACTGTACTCACGATAACAGTAAGAGTCCATAGCATAGAAGACTCCCTGGTGGTGGATGATCAGTATATCTCGACCCTCTAGTGTTCTGAAAGAGCGCTTCGCTTCAATCAGTTCCTCCTTCTTCCCCACAAAATGAGGCCCTCCTGTGAGCTGCTGCTTCTCTTCCATGGCTGCGTGAAATGCTTTTTGGAAGGCAAGTATCACATTTTAGTATTTATCACAAAAAAATGTGTAATTTTTCTTAATGAAATCACAAGATTGGTTGTAACTATTTTACAATCAATGCCATCCGTGCAGCGCTTTAACTATTCTGTATTTCCAGAGGAGAGCTTCAACTTGAATCTTAAGTACACATGAGAAGTGTGGCTTTTGGATTTGTCACTGGGATTACTGTGTTGGCATCTCCCATCACAGTTGTCAGCTTAAATTAAGTCCACAACCTCCAGAACATTCAGCTTGAAAAATCCAAGCAAAGACTATCTTTTGGCACCGATCAGCTCTGCTACAAACATATTCACACCTGGGAAATTAATCCCGAAAATCTGTCTCATCAACACTAGTTTAACCATTAAGTAAACATATGAATTGTACTAAACCCCAAAAGAAGTCAGAGATTAAGGGGAGCCCAATCCCTTAGCAGATCAGGAGCGGAATCCAATTTTTATCAACAATTAAGGGTTTTTTGTGTTTGTTGTGTGTCCCCTAAAGCCCAATTATTACATTATGTAAGACTTACAAGAGGTGACACAAGTGGGTCAAATACAGTGGTTGTCACTGTACAAAAGCACTGGTCATCTGAAACATCAGTCCTCTGTCCATGTGTAATCTCTGTGACAGTCAGTGTATACTGCAAATATCTGGATTCAGGGAGACCTGACCCCAAGTAAGATTCATGGACAGCAGAGTGGAATAATGAGCTCTTCAGTGCAGCCTGAGTAAGCACAGTAGTAGTAGCAGCAAAAGTCACATGTCCCGAGGCCTCTTGCTATGCTACAGAAAAGCATAATAATTGTTTATCTCAGAAAAACAATACATTTACTTTAAGTGAGACCTAGAGAAACTGTCAGCTACATTTGTACAATTTATTCAAAGTTACATTATGTTTATGAATTCTGTCTGTCTGTCTGTTTGCCTGTCTGCCTGTCTGTCTGCCCCTCTCCCTGTATATTTTTTACTTAAAAATAACAAAACATGTATTTTAGGTGAGGTTTTTGTCTTTACCTTGAAACTCAGCAGTGGTGCCTCCACGGTCAAGATGAACAACTGTACTGCTGACAGCTCGGCTTGTGTAGGAAGGACGTCCCATCTCTATTATCTTCAGAAACAAGCTGTCTTCAGTTGGCCCTATCTACTCTGGGTACATTTCTTATCTGTCTTCCACAGGTACAACAGCTATTTGATGTTTATCATATCTGTCACTGAGAGAGATTTCTAACATGGCAAATGTATGTATTTAAATGTAATTATTAAAAAAAGATCTATTATTATTTATTAGTGCATTTTAGTCCTATCAGTTTACCTTTTTCGTGTGCCTGTTATTATTATTTTATCACCATCGTTATCTGCTGCTGTAACAGTAGTAGAGGATAGTAAATTACATTATTGAGTACTTATTTCCATTTTCTGATCCTTGGAAAATATTGTACTATTTATAATCAATATTAATAATATTTTAACGTTTACACATTTATTAATAGTGCAGCCATAGTTACCCTTTACATACAAATCATTATAGATTAACATTTCCAACAGTATATGAAATCGTAATTCTAACAGTAATAAATAATATTAACAATAAGTATGCTCATATAAAATAAGACTTTCTTAGATAATATAGTTTAGAATATATACATCATATATCAGTACAATCTAAGAATATATCTGAATATAGCCATTCTGCATAATCAGTACTTTTACCTTTAATTGTTTAATTTGATTTAACTAAAGTAAGGCGTTTGAATACCTCTTTCACCGCCGGTTTTACAAACACTGTCAAAGCAGTTTTACAAAGCGGAACTGTTTGTGTCCGTCTCCAAAGAGGACCGGACTCATTTCTTAGTGCACCGCTGAGCTCCTCCGCACTCTCGGTCGGTGAGAAACTAACTGCGCCCAAACAAACATAGACCGTGAGTTTTAATGTTTTAAGTAAAGTTAAGTAAATGCTCGTCAGGCCACAGTGAGAACAGAAACTACAACACACCGAGTGCAGCCACAGAGCTTAGCTAGAGGTAAACCAGCTAACACGGTAGAAATACTACCAGCTTTCTTTTGCTCTGGTGAATAACAACCCCACTGCTGCAGCACCAGTGTGCTAACGTTACATTCGTCTGTAAACCTGTGAGATCCGTCAGTGTGCTAATCCTTTCCTGGCTCCAGTCTAAAGCGAGTCTGCTGATCTTTGTTGTAACTGCTGCACTCGCCAGCAAAAGCTAAAATTAGGCCAATATGTTTGAACGGGAAAGTGTTGACCCTGATAGGATAAGGAGAGCTGGGGGTGTTGTACAATGACTGCCACCATATTAGTGGATACTTTATGGGAAAAGAAGGTTTCTTTCAAATTTACAAAGAATTATTTTAACCATAAATGTTTTGCATTGCTGAGCAGTTTGTACGTGTTAGTCAGCAGAACTAATCAGACATAAGGTAGGTCTATGTACAAATGCACCTTTACTGATCATTTGCTGTCATATATGTCCCACCTGCACATAGACCTCACCTGTCAAATACACTTTTAACTTTGTACATCTACCCATCATGGAGAAACATAACTGGGAAAAGGTAATAACATAAAGAACAGTGTTCACTATACTTTAGTGCTTTTTCATGTAATATTATTTTGTGCTCCAGGGTAATGTAAAAGAGTTGAAAGGGTGACACTATGCAGTCTGGAGAATGGTGGTTCTTCATTTCTATTGTTACAGACTCTAATGTACTGCACACTGCAGCTTTATGTTCTGTTTTCTGAGATTCCTGAAACACTATGTAATGCAAAATGTGTTTATGTGTGAAGTTGTTGAACAGGGAGATGGCGCTGCGTGCTTGTGGCTTCATAGTGTTTCGGCGTCTAGCCAGTCGCATCCCTCCACCAGACAACATCGAATACCTCCTCTTGCAGACCTCTTATGGGGAACACCATTGGACCCCACCCAAAGGTGTTTACAAGTTCAGAAACAGTACTTTTATCATGTAGTTGATGATAGACACCAAGCTTCTATAGCTTTAAATGTTCTATGTGCCACTTAACGTCTAACCTGTTCACCATCAGGTCATGTGGACCCAGGTGAGGATGACCTAACCACAGCTCTGAGGGAGACCAAGGAGGAGGCGGGGCTGGGGGCGGAGCACCTTCGTGTGGTTGATGGCTTTTTGCAGGAGCTGCGCTACGAGGTGCGAGGCAGACCCAAAGAGGTGTTGTACTGGCTGGCCGAGCTGAGGGACCCAGGGACTCCAGTGACTTTGTCTGACGAGCACCAGGACTACCGCTGGGCCCGGCTGGAGGAAGCCTGCACGCTGGCTCAGTACAAAGACCTGCAGGACACACTGAGAGCGGCGCACAAACACTTGGAGGCTCAGCAGGACAAACAGTGATGGACCAGAACGTTAGACTGTGCCAACAGGAGGATTGAAGAAGGGAAATAACTGTCAGCTGGCACATGGGACCCTCAGACCTTAGTTTGGTAGAGCACCCAGTGTGACAGTATGTCTGCAGTTTATGTGATTGATGATTCTGTCTCTGTTTTAAATACTTTGTCTCTATTGTGGTGTATACTGTAAGGCTGAGTCGATTCCCTTCTGTAAAAACAAAGGTGAGTAGGGAGGAAATGAATCAAAGTTTGAAAACTGTATCACAGAGTCACTGCACAAAAACCTGATTGCCTATGTCAAATGTAATGAGATTAAATACATACATGTTTTAAATGTAAATAAACTAAAACAGTAAACTTAGTGAAAGAGACAGAAATCAAGGCGTCAGACACCATCGTATCACTAGAGTCCCACTGGAACTCACTGGAACAGCGCAAACCTGAAGATGGGATCTGTTATAATACTGTTTTTATCTGTTGTAGGAATCAGATTTATTTCAAATAAATATCAGGTGTTATGTACCTGGATATTTCTAAAATCTTATGTTAAAATATAAAATATATACAAGGGGAGCCGTGGTGAATAGACAGTATGCAGTACTAGGGTAATAATGACTCAAGCAAAGAAAATAAATTGTAAGCAGTAGATGCTGCCACAGGGTGGGGACAAAAACAAGACATTTTTACAACACAGGTGTACATGGGCTGCTACAGACTAGAAAATACTGCAGGCTGTAGAAGTAACAGCTTTCTGCATCCAAATAAAAGTGTGATAAACCTATTGCTTCCAGAAATTAAAAGCCAGTAATGGAGATCATTTTATTATCTTACAAACGATGGTCATAAATTTTAAGAGGGACTATTATTATGCAATGACTCAGGCTGAAAGTAGCCTTCACATCATCATAAACAATAAACATCAGGTTGACAATATATTTCAGGGATAATATACTGAACCATATATTATATAGCCCTTAGTATACTAATAAAATCATTTACAAAGAGGCAGAGCTTTTGTGGTGTCTGTCCCTGACGGTGGGGATCAGTGGCTTTATGTACAGTCAACATGGACAGTGTTAGTCATTTGGGCAAAACCATAACATTCAATTATTTTCTTAATCCAGTCAACTGCTCCTCATATTGTTCAACAATCTAACACGGCTGCTTGATGAAGCAAATGGTGAAATTCAAGTGGGACTTGAAACTTGACCCTGGTCGCAGCTACTGCCAGACTGTACTATACACAGGACCATGCTCTACTCTACGCCATGCTGCAGGATTACATTAATAGCTTCCGCTGAAGGGATGAAAATAAGGGTAATTAACGAAACAAATTTGTTCTTTCAACTCGTGAAGCACAGAGGAAGCGCTCACTTCAATTAACTGCTATTTTTCTTCTGGGTATTTTAACAGGAAATACAGAAACAGCAGTGAACACGGGAAAAGTAAGTGGAGGTCAGTGAAAGTGTGCCTTTCTTGAGATATACACAGTGTGCTATAAAGTATACATAGAGCAAAAGCTAAAATATCACTTTGAGACCCATCAGGGCATCATTGAACCAGTAATTAATTTCATGCCTGGTAGAGCATAAAAGCTCCTCTTGCAATGATAAAAGATAACTAATTGTTTGGAATTAAAATTCATCATGATAAAACATTTAAGGTAGGCAATATCTTAAAGTCATCTCTATGCATAATGAACTTTAAGTAGGATGCAGTTATGGACCATAATGTTGCAGACATTTGGCCACCAAGGTGCCTTAAAGGTTCGGTTAACCAAAGTTATGAATAAGGAACCCTTGTAGTGTTCAACAGTGCAGGTAGTTTGGTTCAGTTTGTCCAGAATCTGAGGTATTTATTGTTGAGATTTCTGCTTCCACCTCAGTACAATGGAGGTGAATGTTTGTGGTGCTCAAATGTCACACTGTCAACAGGTTTCATAGGTACTATTGCTTCGATAGAAAGTAGCTCAAACTCAAACACATGTTGTGGTAGAATTTTTTAAAATGCCTTTTTTCCCCACTCCTGTGTGCATGACAAACAAACTTCCATTCAGTGTTGGCAGAAATCTCAGAGACAGATATCTCAACATCTGGACAAAGATATGCACAATTACATACCACTGGGTATATGTTTTTATGTAATTTGGGTGAGCCAACACTAATAAATCCAATACAACACACTAGTAGTCCATGTAGCGTGCAGTAGTGACTAGTGGTCAGTGGCAAAATAAGGTGAAAACCTTCCAGCAGGCTTCAATGAGATACTGTTTTATTTTGAATGGTTTTCCAACTTAACCACAATAACTGTATGCTCCCGATTGCATATAACCCCTAATTTTACTCTAAGAACCAACTCGCTGTGTTTTCCATGACATGTGGGCTTAGCAACAGATATCAAAGCTATACTGCAAACAAACCCAACGATGTATTTTTGTTTTTACAATAGAAACTTTATGAGTGACATCTGCATCCTCACAAACACAAAATGATGAGGGGGAAAATTACATTTAAATCAAAGAATAAAACCAACAAGGACAGCATTAACAGCTATAGGTGTGGACACATTGTGGTGGCATTGTGGACACGCAGGGCAGTCCATTAGGTGTGCCCTCACTTCAAAAAATACACACTTGTGCACACACACATGCACACACACATAGATTAAATGAACTAAATGATTTCATTCAGTCTTTTGTATGTAATAGTGTGCATGAAATAACATCTCAACATCTCTGGACCTTTTTAGTGAGTCATTTCTTAGGTTGAGTTTGGGAATTATCGTCATCACTCAGAGATAATAACTGTTGGTTGCTCTCTTCCCTCAAAAGGCCTCCTTAGCTTTTCTCTACCTGCACTCATAAAAACAAGGCATACATTTCAATAAAAAAAAGGAGGATTTTAAGATTGAAGACCTCTAAACTGATTGCTGAATTGCTAACATAAGGGCTACACTATGCCTAGACTTTATTCTAACAAAAACAATAATGCTGATTCCAATTTCTACATTTTTGATGGGAAGTAAAATGTGGCTTTAAAGAAAGTGCTCAACAATTTGGGAAATACACTTTTTTGCCTTCTTGACGAAAGTTACATGAGAAGATTAATACTGCTTTCATGTGTGTTTGTTAAATATGAGGCTAATGCCAGCAGCGAGTTAGCTTAGCTTAGCACAAAGACTGAAAACAAAGACAAACAACGTGTCTGGCTCTGTCCAAAAGTAGACCTCAAGTCACTGCTCACCTTTCCTTTTTACAATGACTTTTGAATGGATTGTAATGTGTTCATTTGTGAGTTTTAAAGGTGCTGGAAGGCAGATTTTGTCACCTTTGGACGGAGCCATGCTAGCTGCTAAACTAA